TGATTAATTGCAGCGGTTGCCGAGGAGGCTTTTCGGAAAAGCCTTCGCCCCCTCCTTCCTCCCGCTCCAAAAATTAGAAAGCTTTCATTTATTAATTGCACCCATAAATCAACAAAGGTTGCCTTTGTCAGGGAACCAGAAACCCTCGTGAGCTTCGGGTGGGACTCCATGACGGGCAGGGACTGTGAGGCCCTGTAGGATGGCTGGGGTTGCTGGCATGATGAGGGACTCGCGGTCTTCTGCTCCTCCTTGCTCAGCAGAGCAGCATCTCCTGCTGATGTCAACAGACCGTTGGGAAAATGCCCTTCCCAGCCCATGGTCCTACTAGCTGTGCCTAGCAGAGGTTTCTCAGATCATAAAATCACAGAGTGGGAAGGGGGACCTCCAGGGTCACCTAGTCTAACCCCCTGCACAAGGCAGGAAATTCAGAAATACCTCCCCCCACACACACACCCCCAGTGACCCCTGATCCATGCCCAGGAGATGGCAAAAAACCTCCAGGATCCCCGGGCGAACCGGCCTGGAGAACAATTGCTCTATGACCCCAAAGTGGTGATCGGCATTTCCCCGGGCGTGTCAGAAAGGGCCACAATGAGAACTAAGCCCCGAGGCAGCCCTTCCTGCCCTCCCTTCTCCTGATCTGCCCAAGTTCACAGAATCAGCATGGCTGTCAGATGGCCATCAGGCCTCTGTTTGAAAACCTCCCAAGGAGGAGGAACCGCTCTGTCAGGAAGCTCTTCCTAACGTTTAGCAGAAAACTCTTCTGACTTAGTTCCAACCCGTTGGTTCTGGTCCGACCTTCTGGGGCAACAGAAAACAACTCCGCACCATCGTCTCAACGACAGCCCTTCAAGGACTTGAAGATGGTGATCCTCTCCCCGCTCAGGCGTCTCCTCTCCAGGCTGAACAGACCCAGCGCCTTCCACTTTTCCTCGTAGGGTAGGCCTTGGTCCCCAGACCCCTCGCCCTCTTCGCTGCCCTCCTCTCTGGACACCTTCCAGCTTGTCTGTATCCTCCTTAAACTGCGGTGCCCAGAACAGAACAGAATAGGCTGGACACAGCCCGGAGATCTCTTTGGGGACCCCAAGCAATCCCTTCCCCGCTCTGCCTCTCCCCAGATGGCCCCCTCTGTCCAGAACCTCTGCTGAAAGAGAAGGGACTTTTTTGCCGCAACCTCCTGGCTGCAGAGACCGGCGGCTGCAATTGCGACGTGGCCCAATGAAATATGCATGCGCCTTCCGATTCCAGGGACCTCATAAAAATACTTCTGCTTTATTACATTAAAGACAGGCTGCCGGGGCCGTTTGCAATATCGCTGCAAAACGAATAAAGGGGAAACGAGGCTCTGAGCGCCAGTAAGCCAAAGGCCTCCCGGGGTGGGTTTATGACGCCCCCAGCTGTGGAGGATTTGGTGCTAAAAATAAAGCCCTCTGAGCACCAAAGAAGCCGACTCCCCGTTGGTAGCAGGGGCAGTGCCGCTTTGCCCAGGAGGCCCGTTTTTCAGCACTTGGTGCCGGGACTTGTGGCCCAGGAATTTGTTTGGTTACACAAACAGAAAGAAGGAAGTCCTGGCCGGAGGCCGTCTACTCAAGAGACATAAAGACAAGATTCTTGAAGGGGGGAGAGTTCGAGGCCGAGGGCCCTGGGAATGTTGAGTTTGAAGGAGATGTGGGGGGGGGGGAGAGACAGCTTTCTTTTTCTCTTTGGAGGAGGGCAAGGAGCTGTTCCAGTTGGTAGCAGAGGATAGGACCCGAAGCAACGGGTTCAAGTTACACGCAGAAAGGTATCGGCTGGATATGAGGAAAAGCTTTTTCATGGTAAGAGTGGTTCAGAGGTGGAATCCAGCTGCCTAGGGGGAGGTGGTGAGCTCCCCTTCACTGGCAACCTTCAAGAAGAGGCTGGACGAATATTTGCCAGAGATGCTGTTGAGGCTGGTCCTGCATTGGGCAGGGGGCTGCACTAGGTGGTCTCTATGGACCCTTCCCACTCTGTGATTCTATGAGACCCCCAGATTGAATAAACTTTGTGGGTGAAACCCTTGTTGAGGTGGAACCTCGGCGGTGTAGAGCAGTTCTGTGCAGCGTTAAGCAAAAACTGTGCCGTTTTGCTCACAAGACTCCACAGCTTGGAGGGAACATTGCAGCCAGTGTTCCCTCTAAGCTGAGCGAGTGTGAGCCTGCTCACAGTTTTTTAGCTTCCGGCTCACCCATTTTTGTCTTCCCTCAGGAAGGAGGGCTCCAGAGGAAACTAATTTCTGCAGCAGCCAAATCGCTCGCTCACAGCTTTAATGCCAGGAGCTCACAAAGTAGGATTTTTGCTCACAAGACCCCACAGCTTAGAGGGAGCGTTGCTTGCCACTCCTCGGTCCATTCAGGTCCGTTCTGGCTCCTCTGACCAGCTAGGCCTTCCTTGGGGCCTGTATCCACGGCTAGCCCTCGCCTATGGCCCCGGTGCAGCTCCCTCCTTTCAAAAGAAAGCCCCTCCCCAAGAGAGAGACCATCCCCAGCCATTAACACCATTTAAAACTGTCTTAGCTTTGCCGTGCCAGGGATATTCCAGCGTTCTCTAAAAAGCTCGCTTTCCCCGCACAATTTGAAGCACGCACACAAACCCGTCGGTGTGCTTCCTTCTCCAAGTCTGCAATGCAGATATTGTGCTGAACGGGTGGTTTCTCAGTGTTTCCCATCAGCGCTTGGCACCGTGCAAGATTACCTTGCGGTGAGCTCAGAGCGCAGACAGAGGAAGCCGGACGGAGCCGCAGGGGAGAGCGACGCCTGGCAAGCACAAGCAGTCTTACCAGAAAGGGCTCCTCAAAGCACCTGCACCCCTGGGCAGCCCTGGCACAGTCTTTTGGAAACACTGCTCAGTTCAGGCCAGAGCAAAACGGGCCTCCGGTGCCCTCCTGGGGAAAGGGGCCTTGTGGGGAGGCTGAACCAGGGCTGGATTCGCTCCCCTTCCCCAGTGAGCCACTTTGGTGTCGTGGTTAAGTGCACAGACTCTAATCTGGGAGAATTTGATTCCCCACTCCTCCACTTGCAGCTGCTGGATGACCTTGGGCAAACCATCGTTCTGTCAGAGCTGTTCTTGGGAAAAGGGCAGTTTCTGTCAGAGCTCTCTCAGCCCCACCTACCTCCCAGGGTGTCTGTTGTGGGGAGGGGGAGGGAAAGGAGATCGTGAGCCACTCTGAGACTCCGAGTGAAGGGCAAGGGGGGAATAAATCCAATCTCTTCATCTTCTTCTTCTTCTTCTTCTTCATCTTCATCCTGTCCGGGTGCAGAGCCTCCCCGTTACACCTCCACTCTGGGCTTTCCTTTTCCTTGTGGGGCACAACAAGCTGCCTGTATCCCTCGCCTTGACAGACCCCAGCACCCCATGGCCAGATGTTGCACACCCAACACACCTCTGGCTGCACACGTCACTGGACTCACCTCCACAAGAGAGGGGAAGGAAGTGTGGCTGGGCCAGGCCCGAGGGTTCCGTTGCAAGCCGCACGAGAGCAAACAGAAGTGCTGTGTTGTTGCTTTGCAAACGGAAATATTTTTTTGGGCAGGGGGTTAATAGGGGTGGACCTGGACACTTGCAAACATGCTGAATAATGCACTTTTGGTCCACTTTCAATGCACTTTGCAAACAGATCTTGCTGACTGAAATGGCAAAATCCACTTGCAAACAAATGCATTCTTTGGTGTGAGTGAAAGCGCCCTATTAGACGCACCCCTCCATCAGAAGGAGAAGAAGGAGAAGAGGAGGAGGAGGAGATTGTGAGCGAGCGATTCAGCTACTTGTATAAATTAGTTTGCTCTGGAGCCCTCCTTCCTGAGCTAAGACAAAAATGTGTGAGCCGGAGGCTACAAAACTGTGAGCTAGCTCACACCAACTCACCTTAGAGGGAACACTGAATTGCCAATAAAGGTCTATGATGATGATGATGGTTAAGAGCAACAGACTCTAATGTGGATTAACCAGGTCTGATTCCCCGCTCGACCCCTTTGGGCTGGCCCCGCTTGTGCGGCGTTCCTTCAGCCTCTGACTTCAGTGTAGGACGGTCCTGCCACACCCACAGACTTCCCTGCCCACCTTTCCCAAGAGGCGTCTCAGACGGACCAAGAGAAAGAGGGAGAGAGCAGAGCTGCCGTCCCTCCATTTATCATCTCAGGAGCCAATCAGACGCCTCAGGGCTCTGCCCAATCAGAAACCGGGGAGGCGCTGCCACCAGCCTATAAGGCGCTTCAGGACCATCCCGTAAGCATAGGGTTGTCAAGTCTTGCCTATGGCTGCAGCGGGGGGAGTCCCGGCCCTCTCCGGGAGTTCCTTGGCACGCACGCAAAGTGCGCCCGCCGCAGACGTCACCCGGAAGTGACGTCATCGCGTCGGGCACGTTGGGGGCGGGGCCACTATCATTTGAGGGGGAACCATAGAGTTTTCCCTTGAATGATAGAGCGTCCCCCCCCCGCAACATGCCCGGCATGATGACGTCACCTCCGGGCACGTCTCCGCAATCCCGGCACTTTGGGGGTGGGGCTATCCCTGGCGGACCAATCCGCAACCCTACATAAGCAGCTGCTGATTGGGTGAGGCAGGTGTGCAGCCAGGCCTTCTGGGAAAGACTCCAGGGCTGGCCTAGGCATGACATTTGCTGACAGATGCAAAAAAAGTACATGTGCAGAGCTGGGAATGGCTGCAGCCCCTACCTGGAGCTTGCTTCTGTGGAACGGGCCCAGCACCAGTTCCCTCTTTTTGCAGATAGCTCCCTCTTTGAGGCAAGAAGGGTGGGGTGTGAATCGGGGGTGGGGGTGGGGGGAACCCACCTCTTTCCAGCTTCCTTCCTTCCCTCCCTTCACGCTGGGTCACCGCTTCAGTGGAGGAGGCATTTCCCTAGACCCCTTTCCAGTGTTCCGCCGTCTCTCGCAAAGGAGCCAGTTCATCTTCGGAGCACTGAAAGAGACAGAGAGAAGTCCTGCAACCTCACGTGTGTGCTGAGGGCTACGTGAAGCGCCGTCATGAGCAGCTCTACCTCGCCTGGCTGGTGGAGGCCGAGGGATCCTGTGCAGACTCCCAGCTGTATGTGCCGTGCTCGGAGAGAATGAACGGGGTTCTTGCAGGATGTGTCTGTTTGGAGGAGGGGAAGCTCTCCGTGGTCACCTTTGCAAGCCCTGAAATTGGAAGGAGGAGGAGGAGGAGGAGGAGGAGGAGAAGATTGGAGTCTCCCCGCCCTTCACTTGGAGTCTCAGAGCAGCTTACAGACTCCTTCCCCTTTCCTTCCCCACAACAGACACCCTGTGAGGTAGGCTAGCTGAGAGAGCTCTTTCCAGAAGTGCCCTTGAGAGAACAGCTCTGAGGGAACTTGTGATGGACCCAAGGTCACACCAGCTGCTGCATGTAGAGGTGTGGGGAATCAAACCCGGTTCTCCCAGATTAGAGTCCGCGCTCCTAACCACTACAACTGGCTCTAGCATCTAAGAGGCTGCTAGGCCAGGGTGCTTTCTTTCGGAAGCAGCCTTCGTCTTAAATAAATGCATTTCTAACCCAGAATTTTATTTTAATTAAAGTTAGGAGAGGACTAGATTTGTTCCCCGTGTTTACGGTTCACAGCTTGCCTTCTGGCTTCACGCAGCTCCAGCTCCAGTGCCTGGCTGCCGATGAAGTCTTGCTAAAGGCACAACAGGGTGCAAATCACATTAATGTGCCAGAAATTAAAGGGGTACTGAGCGCAGGAGGAAGAGAGCCATTCGGGCTAAGCACGATGCAGGCGCCAGAACACCAAGGGAGGGTTGGAGCCGGTTTTGTGATAGATCTACACGCACCCACCCTGCCCCACATCTAAAACGAAGGATTCCATCGCCAGCAGAACAGCAGCCAAGACAGGAGAGAACGTGAGCCTTCCTTGAGAAACTCCACCAGAGGAGCGTGTGTCGCCTGGTGAGCGTAAAGGGTGGGAGGTGAGACCCTGGGGAGCTGTCAAGAGGGCCTGTGGCTCAGTGGCAGAGCCTCTGCTCGGCATGCAGAAGGTCCCAGGTTCAATCCCCGGCAGCATCTCCACTTAAAAAGGACCAGGCAATGGGTGATGGGAAAGACCTCCGCCTGAGACCCTGGAGAGCTGTAAAGAGGGCCTGTGGCTCAGTGGCAGAGCCTCTGCTCGGCATGCAGAAGGTCCCAGGTTCAATCCTCGGCATCTCCAGTTTAAAAAGGACCAGGCAATGGGTGATGGGAAAGACCTCTGGCTGAGACCCTGGAGAGCTGTAAAGAGGGGCTGTGGCTCAGTGGAAGAGCCTCTGCTTGGCATGCAGAAGGTCCCAGGTTCAATCCCCGGCATCTCCGGTTAAATGGACCAGGTAGGAGGTGAGGTGAAAGACCTCTGCCTGAGACCCTGGACAGCTGTCAAGAGGGGCCGTGCCTCAGCTGTATGCATGCAGAAGGTCCCAGGTTCAATCCCCAGCATCTCCAGTTTTAAAAGAACCAGGAAAATTAGTGATGGACAAGATTGCATCTCAGTTGTTCGTGGCAGAAAACCCCTCTACAAAGTCTGTCTTTACAGAAAAATGGTTTGCATTCTTTTCATATGTCACATCAACAAAAAAACAAGGCTAATGCTTTACCGGTCAAATACACAGATTTTTAAAAAATTGATATGATTAATTATGTGGTTGTTAAATGACTTGATATGAATACGACGATGAATACACTGTAAAGACTATACAATCTGCTTGCATTTATTATTGTTTGATTGGGAAGTTGAAAAATTTGAAATAAAAATAAAGTTATATATACATATTTAAAAAAAGGACCAGGAAGGAGGTGATGCGAAAGACCGTCACCCGAGACCCTGGAGATCTGACCCCGATGGATCGAGGGTATGAATCAGTCCACGGGAGCTTCATGTTATAGTGTAGGCTAGCATATGCCGCATGACGGAGTGAGCTCCCGTCTCTAGTTCCAGCTCCTGCCAACCTAGCAATTCGAAAGCAAGAAATTGCAAGTAGATAAATAGGGACCACTTCAGTGGGAAGGTAACAGCGTTTCGTGCGCCTTGGTGTTGAGTCATGCCGGCCACATGACCACGGAAACGTCTTCGGACAGCGCTGGCTCTTCGGCTTTGAAACGGAGATGAGCACCGCAACCCTAGAGTCGGATTCGACTGGCTTTCGAGCAAGGGAACCTTTACCTTTACTTTAGCATATCCCTACAGTTTGAAGAGCCTTACGTTTAAGCCTTTTATGCATAGCCCGGTCTAGTATCTTAGAAGACCACCTTCCTTTATCGAAGGTGCTGGAGCCAAACATTAGCCTGTCCAAGGAAACCAGAATATTACTGCAGTTTCTCTGCAGGTGCAATGGGGGATAAGATCGGTTAATCCCGTTTTGAAAGTCGGAACGGGAAACGAACACTGACTTCAAGGGTTGCAGAATCTGCCACGAATTGAGCACACGGCCTCCAGAACAGGGTTATGCTAACCTGCCGAAGGGGCTTTGACCAGGTCACCTCAGCACCTGTCCCTGACGCCTCGACATCTCTCTCTCTCTCAGCAGGGCCACCGGGGTTGCAGCTGCCACACCTGCGGAGGAAGACTGACCGCCACAGACCGGACACCCGCTTCCTGCTCCACTCCAATACAGCGGAGGAGAGTTGCCTGATCGAGTTCAAGCAGCTGCCGACGCTGGAGAAATGCAGCTTCAACGCCTCTCTCCCGCTGGTGATGATCGTCCACGGCTGGTCGGTGAGTCCCTTTTCTGGTCTGTTGTGGAACGTGCCTGGGGCTGGACGTCAGAGGGCCATCGCTGCTGCTTCCAAACGCCTGCAGTGAGCTTGAAGAACATAAAGAGAAGCCATGTTGGATCAGGCCAGTGGCCCGTCCAGTCCAACACTCTGTGTCACACAGTGGCCAAAAATACCAGGTGCCACCAGGAGGTCCATCAGTGGGGCCAGGACACTGGAAGCCCTCCCACTATTTGCCCCCCAGCACCAAGAATATCGAGCATCACTGCCCCAGGCAGAGTGTTCCATCTGTAGCTTGTGGCTAAGGACCACTGATAAGAACATAAGAACATAAGAGAAGTCAATGCTGGATCAGGCCAATAGCCCATCCAGTCCAACACTCTGGGTCACACAGTGGCCAAAAATGCCAGGTGCCCTCAGGAGGTCCAGCAGTGGGGCCTGACACCAGAATTCCTCCCACTGTTGCCCCCTCCCCCAAGCACCAAGAAGACAGAGCATCACTGGTCCCAGACCGAGAGTTCCTATCTATACCTTGTGGCTAATAGCCACTGATGGACCTCTGCTCCATATGCTTATCTAATTCCCTTTTGAAGCCGTCCATGCCTGTAGCCGCCGCCACATCCTGTGGCCATGAATTCCGTGTGTTAATCCCTCTTTGGGTGAAGAAGGACTTCCTTTTATCCATTCTACCGACGGCTCAGCGATTTCATGGAGTGCCCCCGAGTTCTCGTATTGTGAGAAAAGGACTTTTTTCTCTACCTGCTCTGTCCCGCGCATAATCTTGTAAACCTCGGTCATGTCACCCCTCAGCCGTCGCTTCTCTGCTCCAAATGTTTATCCAGTCCCCGCTTGGAGCTGTCTATGCTTGTAGCTGCCACCGGTTCCTGTGGCAATGCATTCCACATAGTAGTATAGTAGTTAAGAGCACTGGACTAGAATCTGGAAGATCCGGGTTCAAATCCCCAATTGTGCCATGGGAACTCGCTGGGTGTCCTTGGGCCAGTCAAACGCTCTCCGCCTGACCTACCTCACAGGATTGTTCTGAGGATAAAATGGATACGAGAACAATGGAAGCCATTTGAGTCCCCTTTGGGGAGAAGGGCAAGGTATAAATATGTCAAAATATCCTTTATTTCAGTGGCGGGAAAGCTAGTGTGTGTGGGGGAGGCCAGGCTTTCCTTTGCTGGGGAAGGGTCAGACGGCTCCGGGCTGGGGCTGGGGTCAGCTCTCACCACTAGCCTCCCTGCCGGGCCTGCAGGTGGACGGGAGGCTGGAAGGCTGGATTTGGAAGCTGGCCGAGGCCCTGAAGTCTCAGCACCCGCAGACCAACGTGATCATCGCGGACTGGCTGACGCTCGCCTATCGGCACTACCCCATCGCGGTGCAGAATACGCGGAAAGTTGGCCAGGAAATTGCCCGGTTCCTGGAATGGCTGGAGGTAAGCAGAACTGCTCTTTAAAAGAATTGCACACACAGACTCACACATGTCCACGCACACCCCAATCCTCCAACAGCTCTGCTAGGAAAATGCTGACTGTGCCAGTCACCTGTGTGACGACGGAACTGTTAGCACCGGAGCTTCTTTGTGGATGGAGGCTTTCCAGTGCCTGTAGCAGCTTCACAGAGGCCTTCCTGGACAGAAGCAGAAGAAGAGGAGGAGGAGGAGGAGACTGGATTTATACTCCGCCCTTCACTACCTGAAGGAGTCTCAGAGCGGCTTACAAACTCCTTTCCCTTCCCCTCCCCACAACAGACACCCTGTCAGGTAGGTGAGGCAGGTGGGGCTGAGAGAGCTCTCCCGAGAACTGCCCTTGAGGGAACCGCTCCGAGAGACTGACCCAAGGTCATACCAGCAGCTGCATGTAGAGGAATGGGGAACCAAACCTGGCTCTCCCAGATTAGAATCCACACTTCTAACCACGACACCAAAAGAGCTGCGGAAGAAGGCAAGAGGCAACATTTTGCATTTCGGAGATCTGTTGGTATCTGAAAGCTCGCAGCCTGCCAGCATCTCATGGAAAGGTGGGGCGGGGGGGGCACTGTGGGAAGGTTCGCCAATCACACCTGTGCCCATTCACACCACTGGACCAGAGTCTCTTCTCCTGCTGGGACAGGCATGAAGCCTCAGGGACCAGCGTGGCACAGTGGTTAAGAGTGACAGACTCTAATCTGGGTGTTACGTTTGTACCTAAATGCCTGAGCTTCGTCTCTTCAGCCATCTAAGGCTGGTATTGTGAACAGGACATTCTGATTGGCTACTCTGCACAGTAGGCCAATCAGAACTCTAGAGAGGTTCTGGAGGGAATCCAGTTCATTGGTCCTTATGTTGATATTTTGATTGGTTCTTAACTCACCAGTGGGCGTGGTTACACAAGCCCGGATAGTTTAAAAGAGAGCCTGTTGCTCTCATGTTTTTGTGTTCCTTCCTGTCTTGTTCTAATAAAGCTGAATCACTTGCCTGAAGTCTCATACTTAACACTGGGGAACTGGGTTCGATTCCACACACTCCTCCCTCCACATGAAGCCAGCTGGGCAACCTTGGGTCAGTCACTGCTCTTTCAGAGCTCTCTCAGCCCCAAAATGAGTCTAGCTCACCACTAAAATACCTAAACAAGGCTGCCAGACAATCAGGATGTCCTGGGAGCCAGTTTGGTGTTGTGGTTAAGTGCGTGCATTCGAATCTGGGAGAGCCGGGTTTGATTCCCCACTCCTCCACAATCAGCTGCTGGTGTGACCTTGGGTCAGTCACAAGTTCTCCCAGAGCTGTTCTCTCAAGGGCAGTCCTCGGGACAGCTCTCTCAGCCCCGCCTACCTCACAGGGTGCCTGTTGTGGGGAGGGGAATGGAAAGGAGATTGTAAACTGCTCTGAGACTCCCGAGTGAAGGGCGGGGTATAAATCCAATTTCCTCCTCCACTTCTTCTTTCTCCTCCTCCTCCTCTTCTTCTCTGCCTTCTCTCCCCAGCTGTCCCTTTTTGCCCGGAATGGCCTTCCACAACCCCCACATAATGCCACCCCCATACTACTGCCTTTCAGACCCTTCCTTAAAACCGACTTGTCCCGTGAGGCACCCCCTTTCCCGGCAGTCGTTTGACATTCTAGCCCTGTGGAGCCCCACGTTTGAGAGTGGAGCTGCTTCTCGGGGCAGGGACCTTCTACTCCGGTCCGGAGACCAGCAGGTCGAGGGATGCATCACGTCCTCGCTGTGAGCCACCCTCCTGAGAGGCATCCGTTCCTTCCCCTCCCTCTCCTAGGACTCCGTCCGGTTCTCCAGAGGCAACGCTCACCTCATCGGCTACAGCCTCGGGGCACACGTCTCCGGCTTCGCTGGCAGTTTCATTGGGGGCGGGAAGAAGATCGGCAGAATCACAGGTAAGAGAGAGAGAGAGAGAGAGAGACAGCAGCACACCTGTCCCGGTGACGGCTACTCCCCGCTTCTGCCTGGGAGCCACCACAGCTGCATTGCAAAAAGCCAACACCTCCAGGAATCATAGAATTGTAGAGTCGGAAGGTACCTCGAGGGTCATCTGGCCCAACGCCCGTCTCTTCCCAACCTGCCATTTGGCATTTCTGCAGGCCTCGATCCGGCCGGCCCCCTCTTCGAAGGCATGTCCCCGACAGACCGCCTGTCGCCGGATGACGCAGACTTTGTGGACGCCATCCACACCTTCACCCAGCAACACATGGGCCTCAGCGTTGGCATCAAGCAGCCAGTGGCTCATTTCGACTTCTATCCCAACGGGGGGACGTTTCAGCCCGGCTGCCATATCATGCACGTCTACGACCACATCGTCCAGTACGGAATCAGGGGTAAGCTGGAGGGTGTGCCTGATCACGGTGCAGGGGAAGCCAGGGCGTGGGGCCAAATATGGCATCGCACCCACTTCCCCCAAGTGCCCGGTGATTCCATGGCAGCGGCAACCAATGCTCCCTCTAAGCTGTGGAGTCCCGTGAGCAAAAATCCAACTTTATGAGCTACTGGCATTAAAGCTGTGAGCGAGCGATTTGGCTACTGCATAAATTAGTTTGCTCTGGAGCCCCATCCTCCCTGAGCTAACACGGAAACGTGTGAGCTAGAGGCTAAAAACCCTGTGAGCTAACCCTCAGCTTAGAGGGAACACTGCGGCGGCAACTCTAGCCGACCCTGCAGGACTGGCGTAGGGAGTCTCTCGGAGAGAAGGGTCCCGGTCTCTCGGGGCGCCCTGTAACTCTGCACCGCTGGCTAAGTTCTGCCGCTCACCCTTTGTTTCGCCAGGGCTCACGCAGACGGTGAAGTGTGCCCACGAGAGGTCGGTTCATCTGTTCATCGACTCCCTCCAACACAGCGATAAGCAGAGCATGGGCTACTGGTGCAAAGACATGCAGACCTTCGACAAGGGCCAGTGCCTCAACTGCCAACACAGCCGATGCAACACGCTGGGCTACGACATCCGGAAGGAGAGGGTGCCCGGCAGCAGGCAGCTGTTCCTCAAGACACAGCCGAACACACCCTTCAAAGGTGAGCGCCTTGGTGTGCTCCATTGTGCGGGGAAACGGGTGTGCAGAAGTGGGTTCATTTGAGCACTGCTGGTGGAGGTGCGAGGTTATCACGGCATTTTGGGAACAGGTTTTAAACCGGACTTATATTAGGAGAGGAGGAGGAGACTGGATTTCTACCCCGCCCTTCACTACCGGAAGGAGTCTCAGAGCGGCTGACAAACTCCTTTCCTTCCCCCTCCCCACCACAGGCACCCTGTGAGGTAGGCGGGGCTGAGAGAGCTCTTGACAGAAACTGCTCTTTTTCAAGGACAGCTCTTCTCAGTGCTACAGCTTGCCCTGATTTAGTGTTTACTGAACACTTGGGCACAGTAGAAATATTTCCACGAGTGTCGTCTAGGGAACCCTTAGGACAAGGGGCAGGTTACCCTGTATTACTTCCCCCATTTTGGAGACGGGGGAGGCGGGGACATGCCAGGCCACCTTCTTTGAGTGGAGCTTTAGGGATTCTAACTCCACCACTCCTCCCTGATGGAGAACCAAAGCGGCTTTCTAGGTACAAGTTAAACAAAGAGAACCAACCAGCTGAAAACAGGAATACGCCATAGAATCATAGAGTCACAGAATCACAAAGTTGGAAGGGGCCCTGTAGAGTTATGTTCCCTCTAAGCCGTGGAGTCTTGTGAGCAAACACTCTACTTTGTGAGCTACTGGCATTTAAGTTGTGAGCCTGCAATTTGGCTACTGCATACATTACTTTGCTCTGGAGCCCTCCTTCCTGAGCTAAGACAAAAATGTTTGAGCTGGAGGCTAAAAAACTGTGAGCCAGCTCACACTAACTCAGCTTGGAGGGAACACTGGTTACAACTGCTAGCACTTTTATGTTTTGGAATTGTTTTTAGATCGTTTTATTTATGTGACTACTGTTTCTATGTTGCTCTTGTAAGCCACCCTGAGCCTGCTTCGACGGGGAAGGCGGGAGTATAAATTAAAGAAGAAGAAGAGATTGGACTTATACCCCTGGCCCTTCACTACCCGAAGGAGTCTCAGAGCGGCTTACAAACTCCTTTCCCTCCCCCTCCCCACAACAGACACCCTGTGAGGCGGGTGGGGCTGAGAGAGCTCTCCTGAGGACTGCCCTTGAGAGAACAGCTCTGAGAGAACTTGTGACTGACCCAAGGTCATCCAGCAGCTGCATGTGGAGGAGTGGAGAATCAAACCCAGTTCTCCCAGATTAGAGTCCGCGCTCCTAACCGCTGCACTAAATAAATAAATCTACTCAAGGTTCTGGATCCCTTTCAGAGCCACGGCTAAACACTACGTGGCTTCCCCCCACCCCCCACACCCCACTGGCCACATCCAGGCTCCATAGCAGGAAACATCATTTCCCCCCCCCCTTCCTTCCTTCCTTCCTTCCTTCCTTCCTTCCTTCCTTCCTTCCTTCCTTCCTTTCTTTCTTTCAAAATACATTTTATTGCAGTTTCACCATCATATACAGAGTACATAGATACTGTTCAATGTGATCATAACTCAAATGCAAAACGCAATAAAATTCAAATATTAGCTAGTATAAATGATTGTAGAGTTGAAACCTTCATAAGGAAGCTGGCGTAGAACCTAACAGTGATTAACCAAGATATTCCAAGCCATTAAACAACATAAGCAGCAGTAAAAAGCTTTACCATAAGAAAAGGTCATTCGTTATATTAGGGATGGTTTCTTGTGAAATCTATCGAGGCTTTTGTGATGGCAGCAAGGTTCGAACCTGGCACTTACAGATTGGTCATTTGGGGCACGCAGTGAGAGTCCATTTCCAGAGGTCCAACCTCTGATCTTTCGCATTTGGGCCTTCCTTTCGAGTTCAGCTTGCTGGGCCTGGTGCCACAAATCCCAAGAATATTCAGATACCCAAAGGTCAACGTGCAGAACAAGAGTTGCCATTCTCTGGGGAAACAGTGCCGCTATTCTTTCAGACTCTATCAAGTGATCGGCAATGACTTTCCCCCAAACGTTGCAAACATCATGTGAGAAACTCAGAAGCAAGAGGTGGGGGGGACTCCACCACACTCTTATAAAGCTCTGCTTTTTCCAACCGCGGAAAAGAAGCAGAGATTCCAGGGGCACATGGGTGAGTGTGTGATCTGCCAGTAAATTCTCCTACGCAAGCCCTACAGCAATGAATGGGAGCTGTGCAGGGTCAGCAACTTGCTCATGAGTCAAGAAGAGCCAGGTTGGTGTTGTTGTTAGGAGCGCAGACTCTGATCTGGGAGAACCGGGTTTGATTCCCCATCTGCTTCACATGCAGCTGCTGGAGTGACCTTGGGTCACTCACAAGTTCTCTCAGAGCTGTTCTCTCAAGAGCAGTCCTCGAGAGAGCTCTCTCAGCCCCACCTGCCTCACAGGGTGTCTGTTGTGGGGAGGGGAAGGGAAAGGAGATTGTAAGCGGCTCTGAGACTCCTTTGGGTAGTGAAGGACAGGGTATAAATCCAATCTCCTCCTCCTCCTCTTCCTCTGTGGGGAAACAAGCAGCCTTGCATTTTGAGCAAAGCCTACGCTCGCTTCCGTGCAGAGTTCAGAATCTGGCACAGGGAGAGAACAGAGCGCCTCAGAGTAGGAGCTGACCCATATCCGTCTAACACGTGGTTCCCCTTGCTGTCCTCCTCCTCGCCACAGTTTACCACTACCAGTTCAAGATCCATTTCGTCAGTGAATTCCAGGAGAAGCAGATCGATCCCACGTTCACCATCTCTCTGACAGGCAGCCAAGATGACATTGAAAATCTCTCCATGACTCTGTGAGTAGCCGGGCTCTGCTTCTATAGCCCACGATGCAGGCCTGGTAGAGGAGGAACTGGTGGGCCTCCGTGTGAGAAAGGATGCTGGAATGGACGGACCTTTACTGGTCTGATCCAGCAGGACTCTTCTGAGGTTCTTATGGAGGCCTCAGCCGCTCTGCCCTGTCTGTTGGCCCTCCAGAGGAACCGGCTGGCCATTGTGCGAGATGGGAGGCTGGACTAGAGGGACCCTCACTGGTCAGATCCAGCAGGGCTCTTCTGATGTTATCAGGGGAAGGCCTCGGCCTCTCTGCCCTGTTGCTGGCCCTCCAGAGGAACTGGCTGGCCCCTGTGTGAGACAAGATGCTGGACTAGATGGACCACTGAATCTTTACAAGTAGTGTACAAGGGCCATTCTCTGCTCCCTCCTGTATGTAAGAGGGGGGCTGAGGGGCGCTCTGTGCTTGAAGGCCCACAAGAAGGCTGCTTTTGGGGAAGAACCAGCAGTCAGTCTTTTCCCAAGAGACCAGCTGCCCACGCTAAGGAGGTGAAGGCCTCGGCCTCTTGGCCTTGTTGCTGGCCCTCCAGAGGAACCGGTCAGTCACTGTGTGGAGGCAGGAGGCTGGATTAGATGGACCGGACCCTCACTGGTGTGACCCAGCAGGGTTCTTCTGAGGTTCTTATCAGGGGAAGGCCTCGGCCTCTTGGCCTTGTTGCTGGCCCTCCAGAGGAACCGGTCAGTCACTGTGTGGAGGCAGGAGGCTGGATTAGATGGACCGGACCCTCACTGGTGTGACCCAGCAGGGTTCTTCTGAGGTTCTTATCAGGGGAAGGCCTCGGCCTCTCTGCCCTGTTGCTGGCCCTCCAGAGGAACTGGCTGGCCCCTGTGTGAGACAAGATGCTGGACTAGATGGACCACTGAATCTTTAAAAGTAGTGCACAAGGGCCATTCTCTGCTCCGTCCTGTATGTAACAGGGGGGCTGAGGGGCGCTCTGTGCTTGATGGCCCACAAGAAGGCTGCTTTTGGGGAAGAACCAGCGGTCAGCCTTTTCCCAAGAGACCAGCTGCCCACGCTAAGGCGGTGGGTGTAGCCGCTGGTTGCCCTCCCTTGCCCGGCCAGGATCTCAGTGGGAGTCAGGTCCTCTTCCCCTGTCTTTTCCTCTCCTTCCCTGTCCCAGAAGCAGAAGCATTTGGGGTTTGGAAGACGAGGAGGGGGCCCAGGGGGTGGTGGCAGCCATTCTTAGAACTCTCTTCTGAATCCTTCCACGTCCATCTTCTCTTTCGACTTGGTTGCTCTAGCTAAGAAACAAAAACGTGCAGCGGACACTCGCCTGAGATGTGACCCCAGCCGGCATCTCGACGGCCTTTCTCTCTTCTTCCCCCCCCCAGCGTCGAAGGCATCAGTGGAAATAAAACCTACACCTTCCTTGTCCCCCTGGATATCGATATCGGAGAGCTGATGATGATCAGGCTGAAGTGGGAAGGGATCGCCGTCTGGGAAAACATCTGGAACACCGTGCAGACCATCCTCCCCTGGAAGAAGAGGAACCCCCCGCTGGGGCTGGTCGTCAAGGCCCTGAAGGTCAAGGCCGGAGAGACGCAGCAGAAGTAAGACTGGCCCGGGGCTTGGCCATCAGGAGAAGCCTCCTAGGAGTCGGGGTGGGGGGGGGATAGAGGGCGCCCCACAACCAGTTATCACCCCACATGGGGCCACTCTTGAAAATTGTTCAGACGCTTGCAGCTGTTGCAGAAACTCTGCAGGGTAATTGGTTGCTGTAGATTTCCCGGGCTGTATTGGCCGTGGCCTTGGCATTGTAGGGCCTGACGTTTCGCCAGCAGCTGTGACTGGCACCCTCAGAGGTATCACGCAGAAAGAGGGAGGACTCTCTACATCTTACAACAGCACTACAGGTAAGATTAGAATTTCAACAGCCCATCCATACGCAAAAGATCCTCCTCAGGAAAGCTCCTCCACTAGCATGTCCACAGCCTTGGGGAACTCCTACAAGATAATGACTCAGCCCTACCCCACCTTCCTGAGTAGAGATAAGTCACCTGCCTACCATTTCTCTTCTCACCTTGGCACGGAGAGTACTCCGTCTTTCTGTGTGATACCTCTGAGGGTGCCAGTCACAGCTGCTGGCGAAACGTCAGGCCCTGCAATGCCAAGACCACGGCCCCACAGCCCAGAAAATCTACAACAACCGATGAACTCTGGCCTTGAAAGCCTTCGACAACAAATCTGCAGGGTAACTCTGGACAGGGTGAGGAAGATGCCAGAACACGGCATTTCATTTCCAACTCTGGCTCAGTTGTACGGGCCCTTCCTTGCGACCAGTGTTCCCTCTAAGCTGAGTGAGTGTGAGCCAACTCACAGTTTTTTAGCCTCCGGCTCACACATTTCTGTCTTCTCTCAGGAAGGGATGGGCTCCAGAGCAAACTAGTTCATGCAGCAGCTGAATTGCTCGCTCACAACTTTAATGCCAGTGGCTCACAGAGTAGGATTTTTGCTCACAAGACTCCACAGCTTAGAGGGAACATTGCTTGCGACCATGCCCAGTTTTAGGTAGACGCCTACCTTTTAAAGCCCTCAATAGCCATGGGGTGGCACCTCTGGCAGGGTTCAAGTAAAACCGGGAAGAGCTAGGGAACAGGGGCTTCTTGGTTTTGGCCCCCACACTCTGAAAACCCGTAGTAAAGATCGCCTCCTTGGCAGTGTTCCGACAGCAAGAGGACGTGTTCCGAAGGGCCTTTGCCTGATTAGAACTACTAAGCTTGTTTCACCGGCTGCTGCACATTCCTTCCTGTTTGGATTGCTTTTGGTACCAGCTGCTTCTGTGGAGGCCATGTACCGACAGCTGTTTCCATCGCTGCTGCCCCCGGGGCCTGCGATTTCACAGCCACAGCAATTGACCTGGCTGGTGCTGTTTCTGATGAGAGGTCTGATTTATCGGGCTGATGTTTTTGGAACGGGGAGGGAGCTTTCGATAGCAGGAAGCGCTTCGGACGCCTCGCAGAAGAGGACGACTGAAAAATATTAGGAGTAGTAAACGCTAGTCACCGTTGTTTCCTTCGTCTGCTCTCTCCTGCCCAGGATGACGTTCTGTTCTCAAAGCGCCGACAATCTGCACCTCTATCCGGGGCAGGAGAAAATGTTTGTGAGATGTGAAACCAGCTCCCGACGGCCGAGGACTCAGACGTGAGCGGGATCCGCCCAAACCCGGAGCGGCCCCTCGAGGCCACGCTTCCGAGCCTTTTTACAGAACATTTATTTTTAAAGTGTAGATAGCATACAGAAAAAAAATAAACAAATTACAAAACGAAAACAAGACCCAAAAATACGGCAGGCTGCATATCTCCAAGAGAAGGTTAGCTAAGGACATAAAAATACAGAAGTGTGAAATCAGCCGCTAAACAGACCCCAAAATATGCATATCTGCAAAGAGCTGCTAAGCAGGGAACGTTCGTCACCAACTCAGTAACAGGACACCCTTGAGCAAGAGCAGTTTTGGGCAGGGACAACTGAGTCAGGTATTCCTTGGTGGTCTCCCGCCCAAAAATAATGACCAGAGCTGACCCTGCTGAGCTTCTGAGGTCTGATAAAATCAGGCTAGCCAGATCAGGGCATGAAAATCTGCCAGCTTATTAGGTCTGTCTGGAGGATGAGAACATGACGTCAGGTGGGGAAGGCCTGGGGGCAGGGTTCCCTCTAAGCTGAGTTGGTGTGAGCCAGCTCACCGTTTTCTAGCCTCCGGCTCGGGAAGGAGGGCTCCAGAGCCAACTGATTTCTGCAGCGGCCCAATCGCTCGCTCACAACTTTAATGCCCCGGTAGCTCACAAGGTAGAATTTCTGCTCACAAGACTCCACAGGTTAGAGGGAGCCTTGCCTGGGGGCAGTTCCCAGTCTCCCCTGCAGCATCCCGGCTCAAGAGTAAGCAGGGAGAGGCCACCACACCACAGAAGAAGAGACCGGTGGGCCAGGGGAAAGGAAGACGGGAAGGGGAGGCCGAGACAGGAGACGAGAAAAACATGAAAGCCGTGAAGACACACATGAAGCTGCCTGATCCTGAATCAGACACACACACACCCTTGGTCCATCAGAGTCGGTATTGCCTACTCAGGCAAGCAGCGGCTCTCCAGGGTCTCAGGCGGAGGTCTTTCCCATCGCCTCCTGCCTGGTCCTTTTCAACTGGAGATGCCGGGGACTGAACCCGGGACCTTCTGCATGCCAAGCAGAGGCTCTGCCACTGAGCCACAGCCCCTCCCCTATAATATATGAACACACAAAGCTGCCTTATATGGAATCACACCCCTGGTCCATCACAGTCAGTCTTGTCCACTCAGACTGGCAGCTGCTCTCCAGGGTCTCAGGCGGAGGTCTTTCCCATCGCCTCCTGCCTGGTCCTTTTCAACTGGAGATGCCGGGGACTGAACCCGGGACCTTCTGCATGCCAAGCAGAGGCTCTACCACTGAGCCACGGCCCCTCTTTACAGCTCCCCAGAGACTCAGGCGGAGGTCTTTCACATCACCTCCTGCATGGTCCTTTTTAACTGGAGATGCCAAAGATTGAACCTGGGACCTTCTGCATGCCAAGCAGAGGCTCTGCCACTGAGCCACAGCCCCTCTTGACAGCTCTCCAGGGTCTCAGGCAGAGGTCTTTCACTTCACCTACTGGCAGACCCTTTAGCTGGAGATGCCGGGGATTGAACCTGGGACCTTCTGCATGCCAAGCAGAGGCTCTGCCACTGAGCCACAGCCCCTCTTGACAGCTCTCCAGGGTCTCAGGCAGAGGTCTTTCACTTCACCTACTGGCAGACCCTTTAGCTGGAGATGCCGGGGATTGAACCTGGGACCTTCTGCATGCCAAGCAGAGGCTCTGCCACTGAGCCACAGCCCCTCTTTACAGCTCTCCAGGGTCTCAGGCGGAGGTCTTTCCCATCACCTGCCAAGCAGAGGCTCTGCCAGTGAGCCCACCAGATCCAACCAGGTGACCTCAGACTCCGGTTGTTGCCTTAAACTGCCACCCGGGTCAACTATTCTCAGCTTCCACCAGGGGCAGCTAAGGTGGGGACTGCTTCCCCACACGGATCACACCGTTTTGCTTCAGAAACGGCCCGCGTGCATAGGCGTGCCGGTCAGCAAAGCCTCCTCCAAGCCCCCAACAGACCCAACTCTCTTCCCTCTTCAAAGTCTCTCTCCGTTATGACACCCAACACAGTCCTGGCAACGCAAAACATCCAAGCGGTACTGAACAAAATGCCGCTAGGATAACTGCATAGCCAGCAGTTCTTTATATCTTCTGACGAGACGTGCAGATACCGCACAGGCGCCTCCGGAGGGTCCCCCCAATACACACTCGCAAGGCATTCATCACTACGGCTTTGTTCTCCATCTCCCCAC